CCTGACTGGTCCTACGCCCGCCACTCACCGGTATACTTAGGGGGAGGCATGAGCACGAGTGTGGCTGCCGCGTGGCTCCCCATAACACATTTAAGGGGGTAACTTCGGTGCAACCATGAAGACAGTTTGTAACCGTACTTCAGACAATCCCGTAAATACGACATACTTCCGGCGATCCTACCGCCGTCTTGCGCCCCCGAACGGGACGCGATTAAATAAAACACAAAAGGGAAATAAAATGAAATTACTAGAGTATCGGGAAAAACCGTGGTGCTGCTGGCGCCTCGCCAGTCCCGCAGATCGGCCCACTGTCGCGCTCGAAAACAAAACTGAGGGGAATAGCCCTGACGGCCCTTAACCCCATCGGTTCCTTCCGCGAAGCTCCGCCGAAGTCGCTGCGCCAACGCCCGCTGGCCTCGATCCCCGAACCTCCGTAACGCCAACCCAAGGTCATAACCTATAGGGCTAAGCCCAAGCCTGACACCAGAACACGCAGAGTACCATACAAGACGGTGCGGCGCGGCACTTTGGGCCAACAAAAACGGGTGCGCGGCTCCCAGTGCCCGCGCCGGCTTGCTTATACCGTGCCATAATCGGCGCGCGCGCCATCCTACTACATCCTTCTCACCTCACGAAAATCGCGCCGTTATTGCCGATGCCGTCGTCGGGGTCGTTTCTCCGCACGCGCGCTCGACTTGGTCAATATGCACCAATCAAACGAAAATATCCTTAATTCCTGCTTAATCAAAAATAAATAAAATAATGATAATATCACCAAGCAAAACAACCGGGGTCTGGGCCGGCTTTGCGATCAACAATAGAAAAGAATCACGCGCGCCTTAAACCTGCGCGCCTACGCACTCGCCATTGTGGTCAACCATCCTGTCAACGTAATTTACAGATGCGGTCACGCCTAGCGTGGTATACTTAAATTTCAAGCCAAACAACTTTCTGTTACTCGCAAAAAAAACAGGGCGGATACCCTTGTAAGGGTATTCGCACCGACAACGGCCTTCGAACGGATTCGAGAATTTGAAGCTAATGGATGGATCGAACCCACCACTGGACCATGGTCGTTCCCAATAGTATTGGTGCCGAAAAATAACGGGTCTATTCGCATATGCATTGATTATCGCAAGCTGAATGATATCACGATCAAAGATATGTACCCCCTTCTGAGGATTGATGATTTGCTGGAGGCGATTGGCTGTACTAATTATTTTAGTAAATTTGATATTCGCCACCCTCAAAGGCGCTCTGGCGACAACACCTACTTTGATCCGGCCAGACCCCATGAAGCAGTTCATTCTCATAACGGACTGACAGCCAGAGGCGATTTTCGCTATTCTAGCGTTGAAGGGGAACGACGGTCGAGAACACGTTATCGAATACGCGTCTCGCACGATGCCAGACGAACGAAGGAACGACTAAGCTCCGCAAGGTGAATGCTATGCTGTAGTCTGGGGAATTCAACATTTCCATCTGTACTTGTACGGACAAAAGCTCCTCCTTGTAACCGATCACGAGCCATTGTTGGCTCTCAAGAAGCTCACCGATTACACGGGTATGATCGAACGGTGGACTGTGCCCCTACAGGAATACGATTTCGACATCATCCACTGAAAGACAGAGAGGCACGGCAACGCGAACGGATTGACATGTCTGCATCGCCCCGCTAAGGTACCAAAGGGTGAAGAAATCATTCCGTGGAAGGGGCCGGAGTCAGCAAACGAACCCAAGTACGGACAAGTGGCAGTCCTTTTACATGGCAAGAAGCAGGCGATTGGCAATGGGTGACGGAGGTAATCCTACAGCTCCTCTCTCTCCCCTCTCATCTTCATATTTTCTCTCCCTGCCCGACAAATTTTGTTATTTTTGTGAAGCGATCTCGCACGTTTACTCGATCTCGATGCGTAATAGCGGGGAAGGGTATGCAGAATGGGTAGATTGTCGACAGTGTATAGCACGAGCCCATGGCTCGTGCATTTAGTACAGAAATGGCGATAAGCCTTGGTTGTGTTCCTTGTGTCGGACTGATAAGATCCCGACTGAAGCTCGATTTCTTGATGCCACGTCAGAAGGGTTGGAAAAATCCCTGAAGTCTAGAAGGGTCGAGGTATGGACGGACATTGCTCTAATTGCCGGTTTGGTAGGAAACTCCCTCCAGGAACGAGGGCTGGTTGGAAAAACGGAAGACGGATGGTAGCGGGATTTGGATGGTAGTGTCGCACCCGTTTATGAGGTATGACTGGATTAAGACGGCGCATGAGGAAATGACAGCCCATTTTGCCGTATGGATCACGGAAGCGGCGATCAACACGAATGAGTGGTATTGGTTCAATATTCACGATGATGTGAAACTCATCGTCGCGAATTGTCAGGTCTGCGCTGCCGACAAGGCACCGATCCAGCCGCCAAGATCGATAGTACCGATGGTAGTTGAACGGCCTTTTCAGAGAATTAGCATGGATACTACCGATATTGTGGTGCCCCGTGGACCGAATAGCTGCGAGTATTCAATCCGACTAGTATTCGTGGACCACTTTTCGCAATGGATCGAGGCGTATCCGTGTCGTACGCGACAAGCGGCTGAAATTGCGCGATATGTCAACCGGTTTCTAGGGATGCACCAGGACACGGAGGAAATCCTGACCGACAATGGGGTATAATTCAGAGGGGAAGTTTTAAGGAATCTGGTCGTACACGGCGTCACCATTCGGAACACTGCACCCCACATGTCATAATCTAACGGCCTTGTAGAAAACGCAAATCGGGTAATAAAGACATCACTGCGACGAAACATCGCGGCGTGGGATACGAGGCCCCGACCCGATATCGTAGATCACATCCTAGAGGTCCATCGGGGAACGCCTCACGAACCGATGGGCCTTAGCCCCTTCCAATTCTGAACCAATAGTGGAGCTTGTTTCTCGATACCGAGCCTCCCCGATGAATCTTTGTTGAACCGGCGGCCCACAAGAGCCACGGTTCGGGACAAGACCAAACGGCACATGGAGCTGATGGAATGGTCCCTTCCCCAATTAGCTCGAAAGCGCCAGAAAATGATTGAGTTGGCCTACGACCGACAGGTCGGTAGCAACGAGGCCCGAAATGGGAACGCAGGACCACGACCCCAGTATAAATTAGGGGACTTGGTGCAGGTGAGGAAATGTGCTCGCCAAGGGAATATAGCGCCACGATATTTCGGGCGATTTCGTGTGATCGAACTCGGCCCGAACGGAGTGAACACCGTGCGCATCGTGTCGGAGGTCTCGGGAAGCCGATCGGCTCGACCGATTATACGCCATGTGTCCTACCTACGTCCTCTCCCTTCTTCTCCTTCTCCGCCCGTGTCTGCTTCCTCCTTCGCTACGGAAGACGAAGACGACTCCTTATCACTCTCATCCCCTCCTGCTTCTCTTACTCCGTCCTCATCGCCATTGCCACGAGTTCTCTCACTGAGCGGGCTCTCGGCGATCACATGCTGGCGCCACGTGGCGACATCTCGACAATTCGACAAGTTCATAATCCGCGATTCAGTCTGGACCTCCTACAACTCACGCAGTTCTTCAACAGTACCGGGGTATACGCAGCGGCAGAGTTCTGATTCACCGGCCATCATCAAGCGATCGTAGTGGCAGAGGCGACGGCGGTTCGACAACTATCAGCACCAGGAGTTAGCCACGTGTCCACCGTTGTCATCTTCAGAGGCGACATTAGTGCGATCAACCCTCTGCGACACACAGCCATCCGAACGTCGCTAAGAGAGTGGGGTCAGCAACTGGCAGCAGAGTGGAATCAGTGGCTTGCGCGCTGCGGCGATAGTCTAATCCCCGCGGATGGTATCGAAGTCAAGGGACTCCGGACGTCTCGACACAAGCCCGCAGTGGTGCTTCATAAGCTCGTGCCCTTCCAGCGTCCTCAATGAACCGATCCCAACTTTCTACCTTCACTCTCCCCTCTCTCTTCCCTACCTTCTGGCAATCCGACCTTTGCCCCCGACTCTCTTTTTGTCTGGAACCACGTGCTGTCCCCCTCCTCGACCGAAGACAGTGGGAACTGCGGTGTGAGCACTTCGTCGATCTTTTGGTGTGTTTGGTCGGAGTGCCGCTAACGTGGAAAAGGGACGTAGAGCACCGGACTCGGGTCGCATACGTGGAGCTGTTGATCATCCAGGCGTGGAGGACGGAGGTGGAAGGAGACCTTATCGGATTTCTATTCGGCTCGATGCGTCCCAGCTATCGACAACAGATCGTACAAGAACTCACGATTCAGCTGGTTGACGATCTCCCTCTCGATATCATCTCGCTGAGCGATGAGAGCCCGGTTCCGCACGTCTCTTCACGAACTTTGACAACTTACCTGCAGTGGTCGGCTTGCCTCGAGGAGTTAGCGGGCAACAACAAACCGCCATCGCAACAACCATACCTGGATCCCCGGGGAATAATCGACCTCACTTTCTTTCTGCCTCGAACGGCCTCCGAAGACGAAGCGATAACACTAGAGGAGGAAGAGGAAGAGGACGAAGAGGGAGGCAACGAGGAAGAAGAAGAGGAAACCCCGAAAAAGGGAAGTTACAGCGAGTACAGCGCGGGAGAGCAGAGCGACGACGAGGAAAAAAAAGACGAGGTGGAAGAAGAGGAATCTCAGTGGGAAACCCTGGGAGAAGAAACGGAAGGCGCGAAGGAGGATCCCGAGGTGGTGCGGAAGAGAGAAGAAATCGCTCCCGGCAAGCGGCAGCTAGAGTACGCAAGCGAGGCGGATCTGCCAATCTCGAACGATCCAACTAAGGATTTGGAGCCGCCTAAGCCAGAAGATGGGGACCTTGCTGGCGAGACTTCGAGCGCACCGGCCAGACGGCGGCGAAGCCGATCCCCCTAGCTGGATCCGGAGCCACCTAAGCCAGAAGATGGGGACCTTGCTGCCGAGACTTCGAGCGCACTGGCCAAACGGCGACGAAGTCGATCCCCCTCCCCCTCCAGCTCAGCCCGTCCACCAGTTCGAGCTCGTACCGATGCGGGGCATCGGGCTTCGTCCCTGATCCATATCTCGTCGTCCCCTTGACCACCTAACCCTCCGCCAGATCACTACCCGCATCACCTTCCACAACCATCCCTTCCCAATCGACACTTTCCGTTTCTTCTAAACCACCTGTCTTGCTGTCACGATTCACCCCCATCCTTCTACCCGGTGTGCCATCCCTGCCTTCTGCCTCCACGTCCTTCTCTTCAGTGCTGCGTGGCGAGGCCACAACATCATCGAGGTTTATTGCATGATCACGGAGACTATCCCCGCGTGCGAAAACCACGATCACTTCCGCATGGCGCTTCTCCGAACTTTCACCACCCTTTACCCCGACTATCTCGCCTCCCTCCCTCATAGTGGTAACCAGTTCCCTCGCTTCCTCCGGATTGTCCGCTGAATTTAGGGTAGTGCATCTGCCCGCATCTTCAGGATAGGCCGCATTGAAGGCCAATTTCCTGTTAGTCAATGAGTCGTCATATGAACACTTCACATCATTCTTTGAACTGCTGTGTTTGTGATTAGTCTGTTGGATTGAACCTCTGCTGCAAAACACTTTCTCCGTCCCCTACTTGCGACTTAGTATCTACAGCCTACAGGCAGTGGCACTACGGAGGCAGTGTGAGTGCCACCATTAGTGGTGGGAGCGCTATAAGCTTGTAGTCAGCAGAAGGGGGACTAGGAAGCAAACTTGAACTGTATCCATGATGATCCTCTTCATTGATTGTTGCAGGTGATGAGCCCCTTTTGGGTAGACAGGAAATGGAAGGAGATTTGCATATGAGGTTTCTATTACTACTCGGAGTTTTTCCGCTTTCCACAGTTCTTCTCAAGTTCTCAGTTCTTCTCTGTTCTTCTCAGTTCTTCTTGGTTCTTCCCGACTTTTTTCTCAGTTTTTCTCAGGTTTGCCCAGGTTTTCTCAGGTTTTCTCAGGTTCCCAGATGGCAAGAAAGGAAGAGTGGGAAGAGAGAGAACTTGGGTTGGTGGCTTTCTGACCAATTCAGACCGTGTTCTTAGATCTTTTCAGATCTTTTTCAATCAAATTTCAGGCTCTTTTCAGACATGTCAGACATCTTAGACATTCTCAAACGATAGTGCGGTAGTGTGATATGGAAGGCGGGCTGGGAACAGACAGGGACCACTGGTGCCCCCCAGTCGCCCTGCTGGGCCCCAACCCAATATCTTGGCTTAGATAGAACAGAATAGTCAACAATAGACCTGGTTTCCAGCACGCTATCTCATGACTCCAACTTTTTTCTCAGTTTTTCTCAGGTTTGCCCAGGTTTTCTCAGGTTCCCAGATGGCAAGAAAGGAAGAGTGGGAAGAGAGAGAACTTGGGTTGGTGGCTTTCTGACCAATTCACACCATGTTCTCAGATCTTTTCAGAGCTTTTTGAATCAAATTTCAGGCTCTTTTTCGACATGTCAGACGTCTTAGACATTCTCAAACGATAGTGCGGTAGTGTGATCTGGAAGGCGGGCTGGGAACAGACAGGGACCACTGGTGCCCCCCAAGTCGCCCTGCTGGGCCCCAGCCCAATATCTTGGCTTAGAAAGAACAAGATAGTCAACAATAGACCTGTTTTCCAGCACGCTTTCTCATGACTCCTGCTTGTTTTTCCAAAATGTAAGGGACGCTGGACCCCCGGTTTCCAGCAGGTGCTGCTCCCCACCAATAGATGGAGCCCACCTGGAGTGCTAGCGGTGTCTTCTGTTACCAGCACCGCTAGCATTACCCGGGGTTTAACAACACCGCTAGCATTACCCGGGGTTTTCAGAAGAAAAAAAAAAAAAAAAAAGATCTAAGGGTGCGTGGTGGGAAACCCGTCTAGGCTGTTTAGGCTTCCTTGAGTTCAGAAATCTGTTTAGGTTAGATTTAGATTGAGTTCCTGCCTGAGAGGCTACATAGCAWCTGTGAGCGGCRGCACTACTGTGGCAGTGGGAGAGCACCCGTCAGTGGTGGGAAGGCTACTCGTTTGGAGGAAGCAAACTTGAACTGTATCCATGTTGATCTTGGCTTGTGAATGTTGATGCCAATGAAGATCACACATACTATACACTCACCTTGCAGATGCTCCATGGTGGGGAACAACATCTGCTATGAAATCGGGTCCACATACACATAACGAACATACACACAGCCCACGGACACACATCTCTAAGGTACAAAGCACACATACAGATTCACAACCATAGGGCTGGAGAAGATCATGATCAACCGATAATAATAATAGGCGTTCGATGATAAGTATCCCCCTTCATATCAGCTAGGTCAGTGATGGGTGAGTAAAGGGTGTGAGTCGCTGGTTGGTCTTGATCAACCACTGATGATGATAGGCGTCTCGGTGATAAGTACCCCCCTTAATATCATCTAGACTATGTATGGCAGATTAGGGCTGTGGAGGCGAGTAGAGGGCGTGAGTCACTGGTTGGTCTGGATTAACTGACGATGATGATAGGCGTTTCGAGGATAAGTACCCCGCCTTAAAATCTACTAGGATTGTGGTGCGCGAGTAGCGGGCAGGAGTTACCAGTTGGTCAACTTAGGGGCTAATAGGAGATTGCTTGTGCCTGGCGTCCGAAGTTCCCGTGCGACGTGGTTCGTTCGATTCCGCTTCCACCAGGGCTGGGTCATGGCTAGCCCTGGTGCCTGTCATTGCTGTTCAGTCCAAGTTCGCCTCGATAGGGCCAACGGTCCTAAGTGCTGGTCACACTGAGGTAGAATAGTAGAGATAGAGCGTGCGCTAGGAGTATTGACATGAGGATGGAATGGGAAGGTAGCCTCGTTCCCTCATGATGGCCATGGCTGACTGCTCCTGGCGATCAATGTGTGCCTAGTAACACCAGGGCTGGGTCATGGCTAGCCCTGGTGCCTGTCACTGCTGTTCGGTCCAAGTTCCCCTCGAT